AGATAGATAGATAGATAGATAGATAGATAGATAGATAGATAGATAGATAGATAGATCGATCATAGCATCACATCGCATCGCATGGAATGACAGAAGTGGAAAGGGTCTTGGAGGTCTTTTAGTTTAACCCTTTACTCAGGATATAGAGAGAGAGATTGGACAACCATTTGTCTGAAATGCTATAAAGTTTCCTACTTGTGGGTTGGACTAGAAGATCTCCAAGGCCCCTTCCAAGTCTGTTATTCTGTTAACTTCATGCATGAATAAATCAGGCAGAGAAAGTAAAACACTGGTGAGCATTAGTACTAGGTCTTGTCACAACAGATGCCTCATTAGACAAGGGAAATATTTCCTAGTATGAAGCATTGGCAAGTATCCTGAAGGGAGCATGGTGGCTTAGGAAAGTCTCTGATAAAGGTAAATGAAAAAAAAGTTGCATTAATGAAAAATTAAATATCTATAAATTGAAGATATCTTTGCATGTATAGGACATTTGGAAAGAAGTGTCTACATTTGGATAGTGCTCACATTTATTAGACTTACACATCTGCATTAAGACAAAGTGTCTGTTTCAGAAAATGCAAATTAACACAAGTACTTTAAATTCTAATCTCAAGTTGATACATAAACTATAACATAAAAATAGAAGCTATTACAAAAGAAATTCTTGACAGAAGCCTTAATTACAGTAACAAAGCATTTTGCTTTTTTGTTTGTGCAATCTGGAAGAATTTGCATTTACTACTTCAGAAGAATGTATTGATTGATTTTATACCCCGCCTTAATTATCTTTATAAATGATTCAAGTAGCAAACCCACACAATACTCCTTCCTCTTCTTATTCTCCCCAAATCAACAACTCAGTGAGGTGACCTGGGCAGAGGGAGAATGAAGTGAGGTGACCTGGGCTGAGAGAGAATGACTGTCACAAAACTAAGGTGCTTTGGAGGTCTAAACAACCAACACAAAATAAGCAGTTTTCCATTCCATACCTAATTAAACAAGCAATCCTATTTTGCCAGTTACTTAAGCTCGCTGTTTTGAAATGCCCCCATATATGGTTAATAGAATCTTGGAGAGAAAAGACTCTTATTTTACTGAACAAATTTGGCAATGGTTTATTTCATCATGTTTTACTGAGTAAACCACAACTGACTGAGTTTCCAAAGCAAGCACACAAACCGAAACTGTACCATTCAAATCTGAGAGAAGTGTGTGAAAACAATCACATGCATTTTGAGCCAGAGAAGGCTGTTTGCCAAAACAAACCAAAGGCCTATCTAAAGCAACCTCATGCAGCTTTCCACAATGATTAACCATCTGCCTCCTGGAAAACCCACAAAGATATGTGGACAGATTATGGCAATCTTTCTAAACTGGTTGCTCTGCATCTTACATTGAATGTGTTGTTTGAGGCTATGAATTGGAGTTCTAAAGTAAATTAGCTTGAAACAGAAGAATGAAGCCTCTTTCAAATTTAGCCCTTGGAAGAAACAGGGGCAGGAAGATCTTTTCAGAGAGTCAATCATTCCATTTTACAGGCAGGTTTTTTTTTTTTTGTTTGTTTTTTGAGAGAGAAGAGGGCTTCCAGATCTAACAAGGACTCAAGAATTGTATGCCACCCAGAGACACTTGATTGAATTGGGTGGTTACAGAAATTGAAAAAATACATCAATGAAAAGTAGATAGAAAAGTAGATAGAAAGCCCACAATAACATTGGTCAGCTGAGATTTTTTTTCTTTCCACCATGATGAAAAGTTGACATGGAGAATTAATGGAGCCAGTGGGCCACTGCAAAATTAAAGCTTAAGCCAAGTAAGAGAGCTGGCAAACACAAACTCTTGCCTCCAGAATCATACTAGTTTCCATGCAAATTGAGGCATTAGAAACACAGCATTTGCAACTGCTCTAAGAATGGCAACAGCACAATTGTCAGGACAGTAAATCAGCAGCAGGAGATACTCACCTGGCTGTATGTTTCATCTGCAGAATGATTAATTTCCCACCAATCTGATGTCCACTCCCAGGCATTTCCCACAATGTTGTACAAGCCATAACCATTTGGAGGAAATGCTGTTACCTGCCTCAGAAAAAAAAAGTGGTCAACAGTGCAGAAAAATTAGATTATTTATCCTGTAAGTAACCAATGAATTTACTGAATGGGAAAGAAGAATTCATCTGTACAATATTGATTTGCAGTTTTTTTTTGTTCTTAATGATCACGATGATCTAGGTTACAATTTTCTCATTACTAGGAAAAAAACATCTTTCCTTAACATATTCCCTAAATTCTCATGTTTTACAGAAAGACCCCTTGCCCAGATCTTTAGGTACTCTGGCCACAGAAGAATATCTAGTTGTCCATTTGAGCAATTTTGATATATAATCCGTTTTTTAAATGTCATTTTGCTTCAGCTCTGATGCATCAACATTATTTGATGTGTCCTTCATTGTTGCAGCTCGATAACCCTGCTGAAGGATATGTTTCCTTAGTAAGTGCCAACTCTCTTTTGCTGCCAATAATAATAATACTAAGGAAAATAGGTGGATGTGGAATGTTTATCCAACAGTTAAAGAAGAAAAAGGGGCATTGGAAGAATATCTGAAGATAGTGAAGAAGATGCAATGAAACTAGTATATCAGGAAGGCTAGTATATCAATGAGGCTAGTATATCAGAAATACTAGAGAACCAAACTACAAGAAAGTTCAAATGAAGAGAAGAAAAGAGACATGGCAAGGTCAAGATTTATATGCCCAATACATGGAAAAGCTAGCAGGCAAAGCAGATAACAACAAACTCAGCAATGGATAAGAGCAGGAAAGTTGAAGAAGGAGGTGTAAGATATAATTCTGGCTGCACAAGACCAAGCTTTAAGAACAAATGCATACAAATCCAGAATTGAGAAGACAGCCACAGAGAGCAAATGCTGCCTCTGCAAAGAAGCTAAAGAAACAGTGGACCACCTAGTTACCTGCTGCAAGAAGATCATACAAATAGACAACAACTGCATGACAACGCAGCAACAGTGGTACACTGGAATATTTGCAAGAAATATCATTTGTGGTAGAACCACAAAATAAAGAAAGTGATAGAAAATGAAGGACCTAAGTGCTCTTGCACTTTAGAATTCAAACAGACAATCACCTGCCACACAATACCCCAGACTTAACCAATGCTAATAAGAAAGACAAAAGTCTGAATAGTAGATGTGGCAATACCTGTAGACAGCAAAGTAAAAGAGAAAGAACTGGAGAAAATAACAAAAAATAAAGACCTGCAAATAAATACTGTGGCAAAAGAAAGCAAAAATAATACCAGTAATAGTAAGTGCCTTGGGTAGAAAACCAAAACACCTGGAGCACCACTTGAACACCATTGGTATTGACAAAATCACCCATCATCTGCAAAAAAACCTGCTTTACTTGGAACAGTTTACAATTTGCAGTGATACCTGTAACACCATCAAACAACAACATGTGCCTATTTCACGTCCTTGGGAAGGACTCAGCTGGTAACCAAACCTAATCAAAGCAACTGGTTGACTGAGAGCAACCACAAAAAGAATATACACTAAACGTATATGGTGCCAGACTATCAGCAACTCTGGCCAATTGACACAGTTGTTACAAACATTTTAAAATACGGAACAATATCAATAGGTTACCTTTTACTGCATGAATAGAAGTTTCCTATCCAATTCTCAAAAATACACAGTCATGCACAGGAAATCGTTTGTGAGAATTTATGTTAGGCCTGGATCAATAATGGAGGAGGCAAAGCAATCCATTTGAAACAAAACAGCACTTTGATCTTTTCTTTGGTAGGCGATAATCAAAATACATCAGTATTAAGGACCAAAACAACTCATTCTCATTACATGTGCAGGTATGACAGTTCAGTTATAAATTGCCTTTTTTCTGACCCTGACATTTGTGATTAGAGAACGGCTTGTTACAAGAGAAAAGTGCACTACAAAGCTCTCTATCCAGCAGACATAGGAGAGAAATGCCAGATGTACCTCATTAACTTTTTTTCCTACAAATTAATAGGGGTGAGGTTGCAATCAATACATAGAGTCAGCAGCTCCGCTCTCTCTGCCTGTTCTCTATTTTTCACCAGAAGAAAATTAAAAAGTTTCTCAACCTTCCCTCCCCTTCCCTTTATCCTTAGGCTTAATGGCAGGGGATCATTTCTTAGTGATTCTTCTTTACCAGTTCAAAACTGGTGATTGTTGAAAATATCTTACATAGTGACAATGTAAATTACTACACTTTTGAAAGTAACTCTTTCTTTATGGTTGATATTTATACTAACCATAGATAATGGAATAGCCAGAGCTGGAATAGATCACACCAGAAAGGATAAGTGATGGGAACTTTTGTAGAGACTTTGGAGGCGTACACAAGATTTGGGGGCACACTCTGAGATCTCAGATGATATCCCCTTCCCCAGGTAACTATATCTGGGCTCCAAATATCCAGAAGCCTGCTAGATAACAGCAAAAGATGCTTCACACTAATTTTTTGCCTAACCTCTGGTTGATTTATTGTTGCCAGGAAAACTACAAGGATGTGTCCATAAATTTATCAAGAATCAAGCTTAATTTAAGTGGAATCTAATTTAAATGTTGTATTTGAACTAAGGTCTATTACTGCTTACCTACTCTCTACTCACAGCAAGACATGTCAGAATTAAATAAAAATATATCTTGTTGAACATAAGCTTTTTCTGTTTTTTAATGGGAAACTCTAATTTCTGTACCATGGAATTATGTTATTTGGGCTCTCCTTTTTACTTATAGTCACAATGCTTTATGGAAGGATGTTGACTAAAGGCCATTTGCTAGGAGTCTAATGGGCTTCCTTGGCCACCATGAGAACAGATGGATGGACAAGGACAGAGATCCAATCCAGCAGGAATTGTTCATATTAGAAAAATTATTTCTATTATAACAGCTAGATACAAAGTAAAATCATGAATTATTTTTCATTGACCGTCATCTCTTAACCTCTTTGTATCCTTGTTAAATTATTGAGTGCACCAATGTTTTAATGGTGTAGTTAGATGATTTTACACTCTAATAAATGAAGCAGGCTATCTCTTGGGATGCACAAGCTTTTACAGTTCAAAACAACTTGATTTAAAACGCTATCCCTGTGTTAACTTCCTTCAGATTTTCCTGACCTGTTTGTCTACAGATTATCCAAGCACTGTGCGAGAAGAAATATTTCTCTTATATAAAGTGTGCCCATTACCATTTTGTAGGATCCTTGCACCTTTTGTTTTAAATTGCTTTAAGGTTCCTAACTTAGGGGTAGCACTATTATATGCTTCCATACAAAATTACTCTGGCCCATAGGGAGGGTAAATGATCCACATTTCCCTTCATTTTAAAAGATACTTTGTACAAAACCACCATAATTCACCTGTCATTTCTTAGGCCTCATTCCCTAGAAAGGACAACTATGCCTGCAAATGGCATCCAATTTTCTCAAATGGTCAATAGTGATTGCATTGAAGTCAAAAAGAACCACAAAAAGCTTTTTTTGGGAGAGGGAGAGACAAAATTCTGCTGCAGACCCAACATAAAATGGCCATAGCTGTCACAAGCCTATTTTCCCAAATGGGATCCATCTTTACTGATATACCTGATGATTTACATATACCTGGCTCAACTGAGAGAGGGATGTTGGACACCTAGTGGACAATCACTTAAATATGATCCAGCAGTGTGCTGCAGCTGCCAGAAAAACCAACAGAGTCCTAGGCTGCATTAACAGAGGGATAGAATCAAGATTATTTGAAGTGTTAGTACCACTTTGGCCTTGGGTAAGACCACACTTGGAATATTACATCCAATTCTGTTCACCATGATACAAAAAAGATGTTGAAACTCTAGAAAGAATACAGAGAAGAGCAATGAGGTTGATTAAGGGACTAGAGCCTAAAACATATGAAGAACACTTGAAGGAATTGAGTAAGTCTAGTTGAATGAAAAGAAGAACTAGGAGTGACATGATACCAGTGTTCCAATATTTGAGGGGCTGCCACAAAGAGGTCAACCTAGTCTCCAAAGCAGCTGAAGGCAGGACAAGAAGCAATGGATGGAAACTAATCAAGGAGACCATCAACCTAGAACTAAGGAGAAATTTGCTGACAGTTAGAACAATTAATCAGTGGAATGCCTTGCCTCCAGAAATTGTGAGTGCTCCAACACTGGAGGTTTTTAAAATGAGATTGGACAACCATTGCCTGAAATGGTGTAGGGTTTCCTACTTGAGCAGGAGGTTGAACTAGAACACCTCCAAGGTCCCTTCAATTCTGTTATCGTATCACTAACTTACAGGTGCGGTGCCTTTGTAGCCATCTTCCTCTGTATTGCTTCTAGGGAATTCTCCCTGCCAAATATTTGCATAGTGCTGACCATTTGGATGAAGTTTGTTTCCCCATGGGAAAAGTCTGTCAAAAGAAGCATAGACAAAAGTTAAGGAAGGCAGTTGTGCAATTGTACTGTTTAATCATATTACTATAAAAAAAGACTACTATTAAAAAATCGTTAGCTAATGGCATATTAGGGGAGGGAGGGAGAGAGAGAGAAAAAGAGAGAGAAACAGAAAGATAAAGAAAGAACGGACACCCCCCCCCCCTTAAATGTAAATATTGGCAGCTTGCATTAATAATACAATGAACTCACTATCATTGACCTGGATTAACTTAACTTCTAGGGAGAAAGTGATTGTTTAGTTTACAGACTAGGTAAAAGATACACAGTAGTTTCTTTGCTTAATTCATTTTTCTGGAAAATTAGATAATAATGATGAGAACCTGTTTTCAAGACCTCCCCGACAGCTATATTCCCATTCAGCTTCAGTTGGTAACCGTTTTCCTGCCCAACTGCAAAAGGCCACAGCATCATTCCAAGAAACATGAAGAACTGGATGATCCAGCCTGAGAGATAAACAGACAAAGCCAATGGTACAGCAAGGAAAGCAAAAGAAGGCTGGCCACTTTTTAAGATTCTGCAAAAGGGTTAGAATATGTTACCAAACCACAGAATTGTTTGACACAACAAGCGCTGGTAACAAAACCAATAAAGGCAAAACACTGATGCTTACCCTCAGTAGAGTTAGTTTCAATCTAATTAATGGATACAACTTTAAAAAACAAAAATCAGACATAGCAAAAGGTAAAGCAGTTCAGCTTACAAAGGTTGTGGAAAAAGAAAATGGGAATAACAAATGAAAGGGTAGTATTAATCAGGGGTAGCTACCGGTTCTGTACACTTCTGTAGAACCAGTTGCTCTGAAAAGCAGCAAACAGATTCTATGGTTGTATGTCTGCTGCTCTTTTGGCCCACCCACCCGCCCGGGCTCTTACCTGACCTTTATTTCCTGCTTTTTCAACCGCAGCTGCTTTGCGCAACACAGCTGCGGTTGAAAAAGCAGGAAAAGGGGGCTTTTCCAACCGCTACAAACTTGCAAGCAGCGCTGCTCAGCTGTCCGGGCAGCTCAGTAGGTCGTAAATTGCACTTGTGCGACTCATGCATGTGTGCGTGATGCAGAGCAACAGAACTGGCAGTTATACCGGTCGGATCCCATCCCTGGTATTAATTGTATGCTTCTGAAAGGAAAATGGAATAAATTGGCTACCAAATGTCATGTGTTAGCAGTACACATGATGCTTTTAATTGTCTGATTCAGGCCTTTGAGAAGCCTGCTTACTTCTTGCCTCCAAATGTCATGGATGCTCTAACACTGAAGTGTTTTTTTTTTTTTTTTAAAGAGATTGAGCACATTTGTCTGAAATGGTATAGGGTTTCTTGGTCGAGCATGGGTTTGGACTAGAAGACCTCCAAGACCTCTTTCAACTCTGTTTTTCTGTTATTCTTTTGCACAACATCACAACTAAAACTGCTTTTGAAAAATGGCGTACACATTGCAAATAAAACTAGTGTGTTGTGAGAAGCATAGCTTCTGATCACTTTTCCAAACCAGACCAGTACTGTGTTATATTTCAATATATAGCATAACATATGAACCTGTCACCCTTTCTCTAGCTAATCAAGGACATATAATCCCTTTTCAATCCAGTTAATATTAGGAGGAAGGGAATACACCCCAGCAGAGAGTCCAAGTATATAGGCAGAGGATTTATTCTATATGTCTCTATGAATGTGCCAATATGCTCTTACGTAACTTGGATGACAATGGTTTTGAACAACAAATCATAAAAATAACTCAGAACTTTTTTAGCATTTCATTATCTGAAAATAAAGCACACTGACATATACATGTTCAAAGACGCATACTTTTGGTCAGCAACAAATATTAAATCAAAGATGATATAAAACAAATATCAACTTCTGGTCTTTGAAAGAGAGCAACATGTTTATTTATTTTTTCTCTTGTGAAATACCAGTGCTTTTATTTGAGTATAGAGAATGTTATCATACTATCTATTGGACCGGATGGAATATATGCCTACTTCTTAAAAAAGCTATCCACTGCCATAGCCAAACCTCTAAGCATAATCTTTGAAAAATCTTTCAGGACCAGCTCCTTGCCTAACCTATGGTCACAAGCCACAGTCATCCCCATCTTCAAAAAGGGAGACCCAAGCCTAGTTGAAAATTACAGACCAATCTCCTTATGCTGCGTCACCTGTAAAGTCATGGAATCAATTATTAACCAATCCATCATCCTCCACTTAGAGACAAACAACCTACTCTCCAATAAACAATTTGGTTTCAGAAAAAAACTATCCTGTAATCTGCAACTCTTACACTGCAAAAACATATGGACGACA